TCCATTCCCATTTTTCACGGTTCCATTCCTGCTTTTCCCGCAGCCGCTGCCGCCGTCTACACCATCTACATGGGCAAGGACAAGTACGAGAGTGAGTGACCGACCCGCCGGGAATTTGGGAATTTTGGGAATTATTTTGGGAATTTCAGGAATTTAGGGAAGTTTTTTCTTCATTTTGGGGGGAAAATTGGGGATTTTTTGGGGGAATTTTGGAGATTTTTGGAGAAATTTTGGGGATTTCTCTTGGGAATTAATTTGGGAATAAATTGGGGGATTTCTTTGGGATTTGAGGATTTTTTTGGGGGGATTACTTTGGGAATTTCAGGGGGTTTTTGGGGGGAATTTTGTGGCTGGTTTTGGGATGGGAATCCTGAGATTTGGAGTGGAAATCCCAGGATTTGGGTTCGGGATTTTGGGATTTTGGGGAGTCCCAGGATTTGAAGGGGGAATCTGGGATTTAGGGTGGGATGGTTTGGGGTTTTCGGGCTGGATTTGGGGTTACAATCCTGGGATTTGTGGCAGCATTTGGGGCTGGAATTCTGGGATTTGAGGTTGGAATCCCAGGATTTGGGGCTGGATTTGGGGTGGGATACGGGGCTGGAATCCCAGAATTTCGGGTGGGAATTTTGGGATTTGGGGCAGGAATCTGGGCTGGAATCTGGGATTTTAGGGCTGGATTTGAGGCTTGAATCCCGGGATTTGGGATGGGAATGTGGGATTTTAGGGCTGGATTTGGGGTGGGAATCCCAGGATTTTGGAGCTGCATTTGGGGTGGGAATCCCAGGATTTTGGAGCAGGATTTAGGGCTGGAATCCAGACCTTGGAGCAGGATTTGAGGCTGAATTTGGGATGGGAATTCTGGGATTTTGGGGCAGGGATCATGGGATTTAGGGCTGGATTTGGGGTGGGAATCTGGGATTTTGGGGCAGGATTTGGGGTGGGAATTCTGGGATTTGGGGCAGGATTTGGGTTGGGAATTCTGGGATTTGGGTTGGAATCCCGGGATTTTGGGGCAGGATTTGGGGTGGGAATTCTGGGATTTTGGGGCAGGATTTGGGGTGGGAATTCTGGGATTTGGGTTGGAATCCCAGGATTTTGGGGCAGGATTTGGGTTGGG